TAAGGACAATACTTGCCCTAACCTCCTCTCCGCCAGGAACCCAAACGCACCCCTGAAGATTTGGAGGCACAGCAAATGCAGCCATCAGCCGGATTTCAGAGGCTACAAAACAAGTGTCAACCTCAGGCTTATGCTGTCTCCCCCTGTTTGCAGTTTCTGTTTCAACCCATGGGTTTTTGCTTGTTTGTTTTTAAAAGATTTTTTTCCCTGCTTCTTTATCCAAATAAGGCTATTTTCTTTCTCCTACTTTCACACAGTTGTTTTTTCAGGGAAGAGACAGATAGAAGAATTATTTCGTGCCAGCAAGACTTGTACCTGGGTGACATGCAATTCCTTATTTGGTTAAAACACAGGTCAGCAGTGTTAGCTTGCATTCTGCTTTATCAGTCACTTCTTTTCTGAAGCCATTTCAAAGAGCACAATGGGATTCAGAGCTTCAGCATTCGTTGCTACAGCAGAGAGGATGAATTTGGATGAGTTTCACAGAGAGTACAAACATGATTCACAGCTGCTGCTGCTGGCTTAAAGATACATAATCAAAAGTTCAAACATGTGAAGTTTCCAGAGTTTCCAATAAACAGGTATTTTAAAAGTGGTAGATTATATTTAGGAACACTCACCATAAACGTCATGTAAGCATGTCTCATGTTGCAGGTCTCTGACACAAAAGCAAAGGGATTACCATCATCACTTGGTATGTAAACCTCAGCTCTTATGAGTTTAAAGTGTACTTTTAAGTAGAAAAAATAGGATAGAAAGCCCAACAAAGTTGCAATTTATACATGTATAGTCCAAACTTCCACTTTGGAAGCTGTGAGAAGGCTCCAGGACTCTCTTTGTTCCCCCACTGGACAGGAAGAGTTGTAATTTTGAGGTCTCCGGGCTCACAGTTACCAAGGATGCTAGTTGCTTGGGTTTTAATTGTAGCAAAAAAAAAAGTGTGCAGAGCCTGCACCAGAAAGGTCTTTCAGGGCTTTGCCTCCACCTAGAGAAGAGCATCCCTAACAGGGATGCATTTATTCCAATTTTTATTGCTAGCCAAAATAACAGCATGTCAGTCTTCAGGCAACATGTGCAAACCATCTTCGTGACCAGCAACACACAGCACAGGCCCCTCCACCTCCCGCTCTGGCACGCTGGAGCTACCTGCGCTTGGGCTAAGGCTGCCAGAATCGCTTCCCCGACGGGAAAGCACTGCAGCCACACCACTGCTGCCAGATACCAGCTATTTGGACCACCAGGTTTCTCCATTTGATGCACTTGAGTATTACTAAGACGTTTTATAAAAAGGCTGCTAGCTGACTTACGTTCAAATCTTAACAGGGGAATAGGGAACTAAAGTTAGAGTGATTTCTTTTTTGCTTTTTTAAATACAAGTTTATCAGCCTACAGTGCAACTAGACATGAGAATGAGCAGTGCCAGAGTATCAACTCTAGCAAGCCAGTGTGGAGGAAACCCCCACTCCAGCCCTTGTTTAAAAAACCAAACAAACAAAACCTCCAACACTTTTATGCTAAATTTGATCAACCTCTGCATTTTTGTTCTTATTTTGTGTGTGTGTGTCTGTGAATGGTTGTGGTACGGCAATGAATCCTTTCATGCTGCAGCAGGAGACTCTGGGGAATTGCAGAGTGCCAGGCAGACTGGGTTTTTCAGAGTACTCCAGGTCCAGATACATGTGGAGGCCACTGCACAGCTAGTGCTGTAGGGAAAAACTGCTTCTAACTGGGAAAGAAGGCATCAGCAAAACTAGATTGTGCAGAGTGAGAAGTAGGAGGATAGGTGCAGATGAGAGCCGTTGTTATTTGTGATTCGGCTTCAGATTTGGGCCCCTGCCTCTGGCGATATTCCCTCCGCCACCAATCCTCATTCTTGGTCTCCAATACCGGAATGTAAATCCCCTCACCCTGCCTCACCTCTCTGAATTTCAGCAGGCTACAGCCAGCAAAACTGCCCTCTTTGCCTCGCCGTGCAACTATTCAGCGTAGGGTGGAAGTCCCCGGTTTAAGCGACGCATGCTGTGCAGCTCACCTCCGAACAACGGGAAGAACACCAAGAGCCTGCGGCGTTAAAAAGGAACATTTTATTGCAAGAGGTTACAGACCTGGCACAATGGCCACAAGGTTTCCATTACATGAAAATTGCTACCCATGTATCAGGCAATACCACCTACAAAGCACAGTGGATTAAATGTCTGAAATTATAATGCAGTCAGCTTTTTAAAGTAAGTACCACCCTAAAAAGATTTTTTTAAAAACAAAGTCAAAACTATAGAAACCAATTTTTTTTGAATATGAAACTGGTGTTGAAGTATCCAGGCCATTAACTACTGAGATAAAAAGTGGACAGTCTGTTAACCATAATGCTCAACTAAACAGGCTTCTTTCACAGCCCTTACCATCTCGTTAAAAGCAAGTACTTGTTATTTGCTGTTAATTTTTCCACATTTGTTCAGCCAACATTTATCTTCTGTATGTTTTCAGAATCAGGTAGAAGATTTCATGAATAACCCCTCTTTAAAGCACTATTGACATGCAGGATAATCTAGAATCACAACTGGCCCAGAAAAAGCATTGGTGTCAAAACAGCTTTGCAGGAACAGATCTCCCCGACTCAGTCCCGTGACGCTGACCTTTCGAAACTTTGGATGGATGCACTTCTGTGAGCCCCAATTCACGACTCGCATTCCTCCTGTGATCCACTTACCTCAAAGACCTTGGTGAGTTCCTGAGCGTGGCTGAAAAGGTCGGACTTTGAACAGGCACATAACTCAAACTCGGGAAGTCTGGCTCAGGACATAAACCCCAACTGTTACAGTCCCCATCTCTGGCACATTAGGCGCTCGCCCGCCCTCCCCAGTGCCAGTGTTAGCTCTTGTCCGGTGTCTGCTTTTTCTCCCACCAAGAAGAGTCAGCAGCTCATTTCCTGACACCACTGGCTGGGTAAGGTGAGCCCTGAGGAAGCAGAAGTTGGATCTGTGGGCAGAGCTGGACCACCTCAGCTTGTGGGAGCAGTCCACCTAATACAATTCACACAATCCAATTGAAGCAAACGGGAGTATATGCCAAACAGGAGTAAATGCGCAGGGATCTTTGTGAGCCAACATTTGTAATCCACTTGCCTCCATCTCCCGTTTTCCACACATACAGCCTGAACACACCACCACTTGGCAGTGGCTACCACCTGCTAGCA